TAAAGAACTCATACATCTCAACAACAGAAAAACTAACAACCCAATTGAAAACAGACATTTCTCCAAAGAAGATATACAGATGGCCAACAGGCACATGAAAAGACATTCAACATCACTAATCACCAGGGAAATGCAAATCAAAACAACAATGAGCTATGGCCTCAGGCCCATCAGAATGGCTATAATTAACAAGACAGGAAACAACAAGTGTTGGAGAAGATGTGGAGAGAAGGGAACCCTCACACACTGCTGGTGGGAGTGCAAACTGGTATGCCACTATGGAAGACAGTACGGAGATTCCTCAAAAAATTAAGAATAGAACTACCATATGACCCAGCTATTCCAATGCTGGGTATTTATCCAAAGAACTTGAAAACATGAATGCATAAAGATACATGCACCCCTATGTTCATTGCAGCCTTATTCTCAATAGCCAAGACTTGGAAGCAACCTAGGTGCCCATCAAGGGACAAATGGATAAAGATGTGGTATATATGCACAATGGAGTACTACTCAGCCATAAAAAAGGATGAAATCTGGCCATTTGTGACAACATGGATGGACTTTGAAGGCGTTATGCTAAGCAAAATAAGTCATAGGGAGAAAATCAAATACCATATGATCTTATCCATAAATAGAAGATAAAAACAAAAACAATCACATAGAGACAGAGATGGATTAGTGGTTACCAGAGGGGAAGGAGGGAGGGAGGAGGGTGAAAGGGGTGACCAGACACGTGTGTGGTGATGGATTGCAATTAGTCTTTGGGTGGTGAACATGATGTAATGTACACAGGCACTGAAATATAATGATGTACACCTGAAATTTATATACTGTTATAAACCAATGTCACCACCATAAAAAAAAAAAAAAGACTCTTTTCATGGAAACCAAAAAAAAAAGTAAAATCCATTCTTAGCTCAAGGCTGTAAAGAGGGTCGCTGCGGGTTGGATTTGGCCCAGGGGCTATAATTTCCCTACCCCTTGTCTAAAGCAATGACATCGCAAATTTAAATGCTGCTTCCAAGTCTTGGCTATTGTGAATAAGGCTGCAATGAACATAGGGGTGCATTAATCTTTTCGAATTAGTGTTTTCATGTTTTTTGGATAAATACCCAGCAGTAGAAAAGCTGGATCGTATGGTAGATCTATTCTTAATTTTTCGAGGAATCTCCATACTGCTTTCCACAGTGGCTGCACCAGTCTTCATTCCCACCAGCAGCGTGTGACGATGCAGTCTATACAGAAGTTGAAATATCATGATGTACACCTTAAATTTATATAATGTTATAAACCAATGTGACCTAAATTAAAAAAAATTTAATGTTAATCAGCCTCGTCTGGGAATGGGGTGGGGGAAGCTGTTGTTGAAAACAGATGTCTAGGTCCTAACCCAAACCCACTAAATCAGAATCTTTGAGGTAAATTCTTAAGCTCCCTGGTGATTCTAATGGAACCAGTCCACTGGCTGACCCCAGAGGCTGGTCTGGAAGACCCCCTGACATGCATTCATTCCTCTCCAGCCTCTGCTGCTCCTCCCTTCTCCACGGATGATTCTTTCAGAGTACCTCCTCTGTCATTGTTGAGCAACTTCTATCACGATCTATCCTCCATCTCTCCTTGTGCACTTTATTTTTAATAACCCTTTCTAATAACACTTGACAATTAAGAGTGCTTTCCACGTACAGCTTGCTGGCAGGACAAAAGTGCTGCCTTCACCCCACCTTAGCTGACACCATAATTCCTCCTCAATTCCATCCTTTCAGCTGAGCACGCACCAGCATCTCCCCTAGCCAGGGCCACCTCTGGGTTGAGGGATGCAGCATTACCAGATCTCTGTGCCAGCCTTGAACTTAGCTTCAGGAGAATGAATATCCAGTTCTTCAGAATTTTCCATGACTGCACTTCTGGGTTTCTGGTTTCTTAGGGTCAGGGTGCAAAAACAGGCAATTTACCCTAAGAGCCAAGGTTAAACCTCTAGAATCCAAAAAAAAAAAAAAAAGTTTAAGTGCAGCACATAGCTAAAGCAAAGCCAAAAATAAAGGCAACTAGGAATGAAAGCCAAGCCAAATTTTCTTGGGTTTGTGAAGTCAGCACAGGATTTTGAAAGAAATTGGCAATCAGTCCTAGATGCAACTGGATCAAAATGACACTGAGATCACTTGGCATAACCCAGAACCTTAGAGTGGGTGCAGGTGGGTTGAAGATTTTCATAGAACTGTTGCTCTCAGCATCACCACAGTTTTTCCCCGGAACGTAACGTATCAGTCAGCTCAACAGTCATCACTTCCAGCACTTTGTGAAAAAAAAGAAGCCTTGACCAAAAGAGTTCCAAAGCCTGTTCCACCTCAGTTTATTCCTGACTCAGACAGAGTGTGAGAGAAGCCCAGGGTAAGATGGGGGAGAGGGTCGGCACGGATGGCAGGCACAGTGATATAAACAAGCTGAGGCCATCTGAGAGAAGACATGCATCTCTGAACAAAACAGTCAAGAAAATAAGGACTAGCCTGTTGGTCTGGGTCTCCCAGGCTCTTCCAGCAGATTTCATTAGCAGTTAAATAATCTCCTTGTACATCTGTTGTGCATAAGAATTTGAGTCTGTTGGGAGCTGTGATATAATCTGTGTTGCTTACTAGAGTGAGATGGGGTACTAAAGAAGAGGTGAGAAGGAGGGAAGTGAGTGGCAAGTTTCAGAAGCCATATAAAGTTCTAAAATGCACTGACCAAACACAAAACAATCACACTCCCAGAAGATAACATAGGAGAATATCTGGATGACCTTGGGTGTGGTGGTAAGTTTTTAGAAAGGCACAGTCCACAGAAGAAAGAAATGATGAGCTGGACTTCATTACAATTAAAAACTTTTGCTTGCAAAAGACACTGTCAAGAGAATGAGAAGACAAGCCACAGACTGGAAGAAAATATTTGCAAAAGCTGTATCTCATAAAGGACTGTTATCCAAATTATACAATGAACTCTTAAAACTCAACAATAAGAAAATGAACAACTCGATTAAAAAATGAAGAGGCACTTCACCAAAGAAGATATACAGATGACAAGTAAGCATATGAAAAGATGCTCCACATCATACGTCATCAGGGGATTGCAAATTAAAACAACAACGAGATAGGGGCCGGCCCAGTGGACAGTGGTTAGGTTCACACGCTGTGCTTCTGTGGCCCAGGGTTCACAGGTTCGGATCCCAGGCGCACACCTAGCACCTCTCGCCAAGCCACACTGTGGCAGCATCCCACATAAAAAGAGCAAGATTGGCACAAATGTTAGCTCAGCGACAATCTTCCTCACAAAAAAACAACAACGAGATACTACTATATACCTATTAGAATGACCAAAATCCAAACCACTGACCACACCAAAGGCTGTTGAGGACGTGAAGCAACAGGGACTCTCACTCATTGCTGGCAGAAGGGTAAAATGGAACAGCCACTTTGGAAGACAGTTGGGCAATTTCCTTTTTTTTTCTTTCACTTTTATTGAGATATAATTGACATACAGCACCGTATAAGTTTAGGTGTACAGCATAATGACTTGACTTACATATATTGTAAAATGATTACAATAAGTTTAGTTAATATCCATCATCTCATACAGATATAAGCAAAAAAAATGGTTTTTTACCTTGTCATGAGAACTTCTAGGATCTACTCTCTTAGCAACTTTCAAATACACCATACAGCGGTGTTAACTTAGTCATCATTTGTACATTACATCTCCAGCACTTAGTTATCTTATAACTGGAAGTTTGTACCATTTGACCACCTTCATCCAATTTCCTCACTCCCTACCCCTGGCAATTCCTTACAAAACTAAACATATCCTTACCACACACATCACCCAGCAATCACGCTCCTTGTTACACACCCAAAGGAGCTGAGAACCTATGTCCACAAAAGAACCTGCACACAGATGCTTAAAGAAGCTTTATTCATAACTGTCAAAACTAGGAAGCAATTAAAATGTCCGCCAGTGGGTGAATGGATAAACTGTGGTACATCCAAACAATGAAATATTATACAGCACTTAAAAAAATGACCTATCAGCTATGAAGACACATGGAGGAAATGTAAATACATGTGACTAAGTGAAAGAAGCCAGCCTTAAAAAGCTACATGCTGTATGATTCCAACTATCTGACATTCCGGAAAAGGCAAAGCTAGTGAAGGAGGGAAGGAAAATGAATAGGTGGAACTGAAATCCTTCAGAGGATTTTTAGGGCCGTGAAACGATTCTACGTGATTCTCTAATGGGTCATCCATGTCATTACACATTTGTCAAAACTCATAGAATGTACACCACCAGGAGCAAACCCTAAAGTAAACTGTGGACTCTGGGTGATAATGATGTGTCAATGTAGGTTCATTGATTGTAACAAATGTCCCACTCTGACGCAAGATGTTGATAGTAGGGGAAACTGTGTACATCGGGGCAGGGGATATATGGGAACTCTCTGTACTTTCTGTTCAATTTTGCTGTGAACCTAAAACTGCTCTGAAAAATAAAGTCTATTTATAGTGCACTGACCACCTTGCAATAACACTGAAGTAGAATTGGATGGGATTTTTTTGAACTCAGACTGAGTTCCACTCTCAAACAATAGTAAATTGTAGCTGGATAAAAGAGGTAAAACTACCTAAAATATCAGCCACAATAGACGCTCTGTAAATATTTGTAGAATGAATGAGTAACTTACCCTCACCTCACGTCACCCTTATCTGGACCTGAGACTTAGTTTGTCAAACATCCTTCGTGTAGTCATCATTCCAGACTAGTCAGGCAGGAAACTGAGGCCAGGTGCATTTCAGGCTTCCTTGGTTCAATGACTTGTGCAGAGTCACCAAATTCAAGTCACACACACATCTTCTGACAACGCCAAAACTGTTGAGTGACCTTTAACTCTTCTACTTCTGTCATCCCCCACATCAAACCCATCAGCCAATGTTGTCAGCTCCATCTTCTAAAAAGATCCATAATCTAACCACTTCCTTCATGTCAGCCGCTACCATTCCTGCCTCAACCATTGCAACAGCCCCTGTGGTCTCAGAGCTTCCACATTTGCCCCTCAGTCTATTCTCCACACAGGAGCTCTCCCCCTTGCCTAGAATCGAATCCAATATATGACTCACCCTGGCTAGAAGAACCTGTTTGCTCCGGGCCCTGGCTCCCTCTCTGATCTCACCTGCCCCTCCCACTCCACGCCAGCCCACCAGCCTCCTTGCTGTCCTCCAAACATACTGGGCAGCTTTCTCCTCAGGGCCTTACTGTTCCCTCCTCCTGGAGTGCTCCTCCCCCCAAGATCTCTCCCATTTCATTCAGGTCTCTGCTCCAATGGCACTGACATAAAGAAAGGACACTCCCTGCACCCTGTCTACACCAGAGCCCTGGCCGTCCTTCTGCTCCTGCTGCTTCACCCTGCGCCCCTCCAGTGCCCTTCACAGCACTGACCATCGTGTGGCGTGTTACATGTGAACTCATTTGTTGTATTCTCTTTCTCCCCTACTAGAATGTAAGCTCCGTCTGCTTGTTTACTGGTCATCCCCAGGGCCTAGAACACCTGGCACATGGTAAGTTTTTGATAAATATTGGAAGGAAGGAGACAAGAAGGGAGAAAGGAAAGAAGAAAGGATGGAAAGAAGGAGGAAAGAAGGAAGGAGGGAAAGAAGGCAGGCAGGCAAACTGGTTTTCTCCTTTGAAGTCACCATTTGCACCCCTGTCCCTCTACACCTACCATTTGCTCACCACACTACAAGGCTTTGAATAATACAAAAGAAAAAAAAAGCACTCCCCTTGTCCCTAAGAATCTCACAGCCTTGTGAGGAATGAGAAAATATAACTAAAACGAACTGAGTGAATAATAGAAGCAATTCCCTATGCTGAATAGAATCAAAAGCTAAATATATTTGAACCCAGACAAGTGTTATGGGAACCAGAAAAGAAAGAGAACCACATGGAAACCGGATATGGTTGTAAAGACTCAGCTGTGTGTGTTTCTCTGGTCCTACAGAGCATGTCCCTCTACAAAGAGTCAAGACACACTATATCATGTTCTCTGAATTAGTTCTGCGGAAATTTGCCCAAATCTTTCTGAAATGCACATTACCCACAGCTTCAGGGGTGTCCAATGACCTAAAATCCCTAAACTCCTTTTTCTCATTCTTGCTGTTTCTTCCATTGACCTATAAAATTTCATCTCCCCATCACCCCTCCCCCAACCGCCTCTCTTTTTCGGGGGAGGGGGACCAGAGAGCAAGGTCACTCCTGTGCTTTCTCTGATTCCCTCACTGGTGTTTTGTCACTTTTCTGAACTTCCCATCTTTCCCATCCCATTGCAACAATCTTTCTTTATTCTTCTCTTCACTGACTTTTAATCTTTCCTTTCTCCATCTTCTTATCCTTATTTCTTCTGGATTTTCCTACACGGGGTTTGCATTTAGAGCTCACCTCATTGCCCCATTTTTAATAACTGGGAAGTATCCCTGCCAAAGGCATTCTGTTACAGAAAAAAAAAAGCAAAAGTACATTCCATCATCTGCCTGTATCATCCATGCAAGGTGAAGGAAGCACCTAGTAAATCATCCTTCCGCATTGTCTTGTGGCCAAACCAATCAAGGTGGCCGCGCAACACCATCTGCCGTCTGCCCTCTGCTCGGCTCCCTTTCCTGCTCCCCCAGCCTTCCTACTCATCAGCCTGTAAACTTGAGTTAGAATTTTAATTTAGTGCTACTCTTCTGGAGAAAAAGTGCCCAGAGATGCCTAGTGGAACGGCACACGTCAACGAATGTTCTCCTGGTACCCAAAATAATGTGCCCAATTTGGACCCGGAGTTGGAGTTATACGCAGCAGGCAGAGAAGTTGGCTCTCACCCCAGAATCAACCTCAATGGGGCCACCCTGCCCAGGAGGGGATCTGCCATTTCCACCCCCAGGAGAGTGTGAGAGAGAGGTCCCACGTGTGTCCTCCACAAACCAAAACTGCCAGTAGGTGCCACAAGTACAGAAGGAGGCAGCAGAGAAGACATCAGGCGATCCACAATCAAGGGCTGAAGGTCTGGAAGAGAAAGGGCAAAACACAAGCAGGTGAAATTACGAAAAGTGAAAACGCACGAAAGCCCCGTGGCTGTGGCTCGTTTCCCAGGCTCTCCCGGGGAAAAGCAACGCACTTGTTGGAGAGGCAGCTGGTTTTCATCACAGCCAAATGGAGTTTAAAAATAAATACAGCCCCCCTTACACCCACCCCAAACTCGGCGCACGGTCAATTCTAACAGAATGGACACCCAGACTTAAAAGTCAAACAGCCTGAAACCCACACCGCGGAGAATTGTTGCTGTTGTTGTTGTTCCAACGGTTTATTCCTCTGGAGGCCACAAACTCAAACAATGACAACCTTCACGTCAAATTCCAGGAAACAAAGGATAGACGATAATTAGAGGGGCTTTTTTCTCCCAAATACAAACCAACGAATTAGTGCTGAGGGGCCGAAGGGAAGCGGAACAAATTAGACTCACTTCCACCAGGCTGCCTACCTCACTGAACAGCTCCTGGGCGCATTCTCCAAGGGGAGTTCAGAAGGGGTCTGGGTTCCAGGACAAATATGTGACAAAAGACGCAGGCCCACCCAGAAGACAGGAGAGCCTGATGTGAGGATTACAAACGCTGGCTTAGGGCCAAGAACTGCCTCCCTTCCCCCAACCACAGAAGGAAACAAAACGACCAACCCAGACATCGGGGACATGTCCCCCACTGTCAAGGCTTGTTATGCAAGAGTGATGCCTGGCAGTGCGCCTCTAGAACTCTGGGTTGGTAACTACCTTTTCAAATCACTAATTTTTCAAACCCACTCTTCATTACCGTCTCAGATCACCTCAATCAGTTAGAGTATTACCTAGTCTGTTCGAGGCACATAATATTTGTCTTGTCGTTAGAATTAATTAACTGTGCTAAAGAGGCCCCAGGCCAGGATCCTTATACCACAAGCCTTTTAGTTTCCCACAGAGAAAAAGCCTCTTCTTAAACTACAGTCATCGCCCCTACCCCCAACCAAACATCTAAGTCATATGTGAGCTGTGAGATGGGCTGTGCTAACAAGCAGATGACTCAGGGCAAACCACACCACCACCCAGATCACGGCGGGCGGGTTTGAAATGGCGTCTTCTGAAGGTTAACACGTTTCCAGTAACCTATTAGACAGATGTGGCCACTGACAACCCGAGGTGTTCAAAGACTTCCCTCGTGCAAAGAGCAATAATGAGACTAGCCAGAAAATCCCCTCAGGTGGTTTTAATTTTAAAAATCTTATAGTTGGATTTAAAAATTAAAAATCTCATTAGTCACTAGTCCCCTAGAACCAAATGTTTTCTTCAGGCTCTGCCTCCCGTAATCCCAGCACTTTCTTGTGCCTTTCCTCCCGTGCCTTGCCCCGGGTCATTCAGGAATCCCAATTTCCACATACAAGCAGAATGACCAAGCAAGGACAAGGAGGCCAGCGGACCTGGGTGACCCCAGGAGGTATGGAAGTGAAGGACGCCACTGCCTGCTGCAGGGTGTGTGCAGTGTGGGAATAATTGAAGGAGACAGAGCAGGACTCAGCAGTAAGAGGAGCAGATCACTGACATAGTGTTAGAAAATGAGCTTCCAATGGGATGGCGGTAATGTGAAGTCTTTTGACGCCACATATAAAGACAGCTCTCCTTGGGCTGTGCTGGAGCCACCACCAGCCTGGTGCCTGGGGCTGTGTTCAGCTTGGCTTCTTTGTCTTTCCGTTGGGGCCCTCAGCCCGTTTCACAATGAGCTTCATCACAGACCATTCCCAGCTATCGGATGATCATAGACAGCCTGGCCCCTCTGCCCCCCTTGCTCCTCAAGGGGTGGCAGCTACGCTGCTTCACTAGAAACGTGACTGTGCAGTTTCTCTAAAATATTTCTAGCACGTGGCCTGCTTTCGGTTGTTCTGCCTCAGCTAAATGCACAGAAGATACCCGTGGGCAAATGAGATGTTATTTCATCTGCAGATTCCATTTACACATAATCTTTTAGGTACATACCTGTTGTCTAGAGTAGTGGTTTCCATTCTATGTCCCTGAAACCCTCAAGGTGCATGAAAGTATCTCAGAAGAACAAGGAAGCCAAGCTGGCAGGCTCTGGGCCCTCCACTTATTCTTCAATCAGAGTCATTCCGGTTTTATCTGTTTTATTTATATAAAATATATGTAATATATGTGATAAAACACATACATAATGTATATGTTATTTATACATATATATAATCAGAAGATTTTATATAGAAAGTTCCATTCCTAAATAAAAAGCTTGAAAACCATGATTTAACCACAGTAAGATCTACCTGTATCAGTGACTATAGTTTCTAAATCTCTACCAGACAATTGTGGTGTAAACAGCCAAACACACCGGAGCTTGCCTGGTTGAAGCAGGCCTGGGGAGCCCAAAGACTCCCACTTAGGACCACGGCCTTACCCTTAACACATTCTCTCTCTCTCCCTTTCTCTCCTTAAAGAACAGTTTGGAAACTATTGAATTAGATGATCTGTGTGATTCCTCCACATTCAATGATCAAAAGATTCCTCTATTCCCATAACTGTAGATGGAATGGATAAAAGGAATGATGATTTTGCTGTCTGTGGATCTAAAATCTAAAAGATTCTGAGTTATTGTTTCAAACCATCACCCAAGAAAGGAATATTCAGGCAAGCAAGATATTAGGATATGCTGAAATCAGATTTCATTGCGAAATTGCATAGATAAGCTTCAAATTGGGTTTTCTGGCTTTTTTGTTTTGTTTTACTTGTGACCAGCCTGACCCTTAGAGGTCAAGCAAGATCCTTCCATGTAGGATTGAACAAGCAGAGCCGAATGACGGTGGAAATACACCTCAGGTGATCGCCCAGCTCTTCTCTCACCAGTCTGTCATCCCAAACTCTGCTACTTTTAACATCCCCAGAGAAAATCACTGGTTCCCAACCAAGAAGAAGTCTACTCAACAGCTTTAGCATTGTTATCCAACATTTAGACCCTACCTCCTGTCAGACTATCATGACTATTTGTGTTTGAAGATTGTCCACGCCATGGTCATTTACAGTGACAACAATCTTCTCCCACCCTACCAAAAAAAAGCATTTCTAACAAAACCTTCAGACAGTTTTGCCTCAGGATCATACTAAGAATTTCCACTTGTCTCGATAAATGTCACCTAAATATTAAAATATTTTGGCTTTGATTTGCGTGTGTATGTGTGTCTTTTTTTAATTTAAGTGGAGGACAGACTGCAAGTAAGTGGAACTCTTGGTTGAAGATGTTTGTTTTCTTTTCTCTTTGTTAATAGTCTGACTCATTTTGCTCATCTTTTAAAGAGGGAAGGTGCATGAAATACACCCAAGGAGTTTCCAACTTAACAAAGCTCAAGATAGGAAATCAGGAGGCGTGGAACTGTTCTGATTGTGGCAGAGTAGGGGACTTCTGAGCGGGCTTCCCAGGACACTGTGTGAAGACCCCCCCATACCAATGTTCTTTAAATGTTCCTCCAACTATAAAATTCTATGATCCAACCATCCCCTCAGTATCTCAAATTGAGTAAGAAAAGGAAAGAAGCGTTCAAAGAACCAAATGAGGAATCCAAAAGCCACACTCACTACTAGCTCATTAAAGCAACCGTGCAATTTATTTTGTCTCCCATCACTCAGTGTTCTATATCTGCAAAATGGAGAAAGGAGGGGTCAAATGAGGACCAGAATGGCTAATGATGTCGGTGAAATGTATTCCTTTCTCTTAACAGTTTTGTTACACTTCTCACAAAGTCACCACCCCCACCCCTAATACCAAAACGTACGGGCAGAGTTACAGACACACAGCGAGAGGCGGTAAAGTGCGACGTCAGTGGAGGCAGGGTGAGCTCGGGTCAGAAGACAGGATGGGACAGGAAAGAGAAACCTCAGAATTCGATAGGCAGGGGTAATGGGATGGCTCCAACTGGTCTTCCCAAGCCTCATCTGTGCCAATTGGATTGGACACAGTTAAAAAGGAGGAAAGAAAATGCCAACAAAAACCAAAACAAAAGATAAAGATAAAGAGCAGCTTTTCCAAATGGGTGGGCAGGGATCTGGCCCCTGATGGTGGGGCAGCCTAGCAGCCTGGGGAGCATGTCCCCAAACCAGCTGAGCCTGCTGTCCTCCTGTGGCCACCCCTCCCCACGGAGCTCAGCTGTGCTTTCTGCACCTTGAACCCATTTGAGGGACTTCTTTTATTTTTTTGAGGGAGTTTGGTGAATTATTGTATAAAAAGAACCAAAGAAGAGGAGGAAAAAAGTAAAATCATTTCGTCATAAAAAATTTTTTTATCTATTTAATTTAGCCAAAGAATTTTCAGACTCTATACAGGCGTAAAATCAGTTCTCATGCCACCCACATTTTGCATACCTCCCAATTCCTACTGCAGCTATTCCACTCCCTCAGCCCCCACTCATCCTTGCCTCCACCAGCACTACCCCTCATTCACCTCTGCCTGGCCTCAAGCCCAAGCATCCATCTGAAGCAAACCGGAGGACCCAGCAAATCCACACTCCCTCTCTCATGTACTCACATGTGTATACACACACATACAGCTACCTCCATCCCCCACTACAATTCTGTAACATCTCACGCAAACGTCAGCCATGGTCCCCAGCTTGCCCCACACCCCCTTGCAGTGAAACTGCCCTATGCACATCTCCTGTTTAGGGGGTGGCTGTAGGTGATGGTTATCCCACCAGATAACCCCACCTAAGCCATAGTTGATTGGACCCACAGTAGTGACAAATAAAAATGGCAAGCAATAGGATATATTGGAGTATATGAGGAAGCCATTTGGTATATTCGGCCTGACTTCTTTTTTTCCTCCAAAAGGGCCTGACTGGCTATTGAGTACGCATTGCATATCTGCTTAGACATTTCCTATGGCCAGAACAAAGGCCCTTGAGATAAAGATGCAACTTCCCCCCCACACACATTAGCATTTTTCCTTAGGCTAGGAACTGATTGCTGCACTCACCTCCCAGCTCACCTGTGACCACCCAGCTGGAGACAACAGACTGCCACCCTGCTGTGTTCACCGAGACAGAAGACCTACCTGCTATTTCCATCAATCGCTGTGCCGACAGAGTAGTCTCGCGACTATTGTAAAAGGGACATTCCAATCATATGTGAAACATCCTCTTTGAGGGTATATAACGACCCTGTATACCCCCCCACCTCTTTGGAGTGCTCTGTTCCTTTGTGGAAAGACTCTCCCGGGTTATAATCCCCAGATTTAAGCTCAGAATAAACTCACCCAAATTTTCATTTATAGATTGGATATGGATTATTTTCGTCGACAGTTCGTAATAAAAGGGCTACGACAAATGTCCCTGAGTGGGGCTGGGGTAAAGGTAAGTTGGACATGTTAGTTTATCTCTTACAAACCATAGGTGAGGTGCTCAGGCAACACGCATCTCGCATTTCGTTCACATTCTAATCCCCGGGGTGGGCTGCGAGTCTGCCTATAATGCTCCAGTTCACACACACTTGGAGTGCCTCTTTTATCCTCCTGCCTAAGCCGTTTTCTTTGGAAGAGCAAGTGCCAGAAGATAAGCTTCTGAAACAAGTCAGATTCTGGGAGCAGCGTTCCCACCAGCCCTGGAGAGCTTTCACACAGATAGGTGTCCTGGACTGGGCCTGCTCAGTTGCAGAAGGAAGTGTGATAATGAAGGAATGTGGCTCTGGGTCACTGTCCCCCAGGGAAGGGGAAAGAGGAAGAGAAAGGAGGGAAAGTAGAGTTAAAGGTCATGAATACTTACTACTCCATAATGCCATCTGCCTGCAACACCGGAGTTACACACAGGGATGGGGCTTTGAATTCTGGGCTCTGTGTAACTTATGAAGCCTTGGGCTGAGAGTTAGATTACAGTTCTGGTCTTCCAGTGACCAGGAACTTCCTCCATAATGCTAATACTCTCGTGATTAAGGAACCACAACACCCCTAAATTCTACTTCTCCTGTTGAATTGACCTTGGGTCTTCCATCTGTTAAATTGGGAAGGGGGATGCTACCCTCTCTCAACCCCTTTGAGGCAAGTTTGATATCATAAAGATCCTGGGAGTGAAGGTCTTAACTCTGACATTTGGAGAAATTTGGGGCACTCAAGAAATTACTTCCTTTCTATATTTGAAACAGCCATGGTTTCTACTGATGAAACCTAAGGTCTACGGGGTTTCCTGAAGACCCCATGGTCATGCAGGCTCTGGCAAAGTTCCTAGACCTAAGGAAGAGATAATATGGAGTGGAAGAAAATTTGGAGGAAAGCAGAAAGACAGGGATAATAAACTATGTATTGACTTCATGTTAACATATCACATTTTTAACCATCCACATGAAAATTTTTCTGGAGAGCTTGTAATACGAATGAGTCGTACCTCCTCTTCCTTCTTTTACTTTCCAGTAGCAGGATTAGTAACAAACTGGCTAAAGATCAGGGAGTATAAAGGAGAAGGAAGTAAATCGAAAGGTCTGTATTACCCACTCAAGAGCTGGCCCTTTGAAAGAAGATGAACTTCCTCGCCCATATTAGGGCCAGAGCCAAATTTTCTCATCATAGTAAGTCAGTACAAGTATTGTTGGAATTCCAAAGAGGCTCAAAATCCACATCTCTGTGCAGGTTCCCCAACCATCCTCTCTGACTCTAGGAGGTAAATCCATAGAAGAGTGGGTTCTGAGGCAACCTAAATTAGATCCATCAAAGGATCAAGAAAGAAAGAAAGGTTCTGAGTTTTTTAACTCAGGCCTAACCAACGTGAGTGTAATTTATGCCATTTGTCAAAGCAAGGAAAAGGTGAAAAAGTTGGAGAGGCTAAGTGGTTCCATTCCTCCTTCCTACCTCTGATGTACGCAGTATAGGGGAGGGAGAGGCCGTTGGTAGACATCTCTTGGAAGAAGAGAGAATCCTGTTTATAGTTAGGCAGTTGTATCTCTTTTCACTCAAAGAGAAATGGTATCCAATCTTCAGGGAAGGAGCTGGAAGAGACCAATCAAGAATTCAAGAGACGGGCACTCCCAAGAGTGACCGAGAAAACTCCTTAGTCCCTCAGACCTCAGAATTGCTACAAAACAGAGGAGAGCAGCTTTGGAGAGCAAGAGTCTTTGAAAGCTAGGCCTGGAATGTCAAAGAACATGGTAGATATTTGTCATTTGGGGCCACCCAGCATCCAAACGCTCTCCTACTGGGGGAAGGAATTCCAAGTTAGGCAGAAGACAGGCCTCCTTCTTATGGAAGCTAAAGGGGCTTCTTAGTTCCTGTTCCCTGGTAGCTAGACAAAGGGTAAATGACCTAAGTGTGCCAAATCAGAGGCTTCCACACAAAGTTTAAGTCTGAGTTAAAAGCCAAGGATCAGTTAGAGATTACGAAGAGGCCCTTCTTGTGATGGCCCATTTCTAGGGGCAGTAGTGTCCAAAAGCGTGACATCAGAAGCAGCATCCTAAGCCCACGGCTCCTCCCATGGTAGGATTTTGGCAGAGCCTTGTCTCCGTTGGTGTGTGCCCAAGACTGACTCACTAATCTTCCCATAGATTTCAACAGCTACCAAATACCCTTCCAATAAATTCATTTTCTGCTTAAGTTAATCAAGTTGGTTTCTTTTCTTTACAACCAAGAACCCTAACTAATGCTGAATTATAACAGGAAATGTATCAGAAAAGAAATCCCTGCTGGTTTTGAGATGCCCATCTAACCCCTACAGTGCCAGGAGCCTTTTTCCCAGGTGATGCTCACCATGTCCTCTCTGGGCAGTGAGCAGATAGCTGAGAAAATTATTAGATTCATATTGGCTTCACACACCATAGGGGCCTCTGCTTCTGACACACATCTCAACATTCTGCCCTCTGGGAGATGACATGCTCACACTCAACCCACATGCACTGCATGCTCATCAATGACCTAGTTTCATTTGATGTCCTGTTTTCTTATTCCCTTTATTCTAATGCTTTTTTTCAGCAAATATATGTTTGGGAGATGTAAATGTTCTCCTATAACCCACAGGGAAGGATCTGAGAAAGGGAGCAGATCACAAACCCTTCCACCCTTTTCCACCCGCTGATCTGGCCAAGGCCTCTCCACTCCAATTCATTTGCTGTGCCCCTTATATAATTTTGTTGCTTTTGCCTTCGAGGGCCCGTTCAGGAAAGAAATTTCATCCTACCAATTGAGTTTTCTCTCTTTTTCCAAACTCCTACTCAAGATCTCCCTTTTCTTTGGAATCTGAGTTCAGAAGCCAGGAGCTGCAGAGTTCTCTGAGTGCACTGTACTCTTTCTCTTCTTCACCAGGAATACCTGCCCTGCCCTCCAAGCACCCCACCCAACAATAATCTCCACTTAACCTGACAAGCTTCTATTTCTCTAGAATTTAGCTCAGGCACCAACAACTCCAGGAAGTATTTGCTGAACCTTGAAGTGTGTATTAGAGGCTTCTCCTGTGCATACTTCTGGTATTGCACTTACCTTGTGCATGGTACCCTATTTGTCTCCCCAGGTAGATGGTGAGCTCCTTGGCGGCTGGCACTGTGTCATACTCATCTTCTTATACCAATACTTGGGGCAGTACTTGGCACACAGTAAGTGGTGAGTGTTTGTTGAATGAATAAATAAACGAGTTAGAACCGGGATCTACCTGAAGATCTGAACTTACACTGCCACTGAGGCCTCATCTGTCAAAACAGGAAACGGAGAAGAATGTTTGCAAAGGTCCCTGACAGCCCCAGGTTTTGTGAATCATTTAAGTTTTCCCTCATGAATCCCAGTGAACAACAGTCACAGGCAGAGCTGACATTCACTGAACAGGTTAGCAAGCCAGCCCCTCTGCTCAGCACTGCGTAGGGTTCCCTCACGCAAGCCGATCAGCCCTTCTCAGCGTGTTCGGTGGGAGCTGCACAGCAACCAAGTGCCCAGTCTCATGGTGACAATAGGGGCCTGGAGAAGAGCATGCAGCGACTTGAAAACAAGGCAGCCAAGTAAAGGCAGAAGACAGGGCCCAAGCAATTGGACATGATATTCCTGCCGGAAGAGACTTGAGGAACAGGCCAGGGGAGAAATGGGAAGGGAGGTCACGCCCCTCTGAATCCTCACAGAACCCCATGAGCAAGGCACTGTTATCCCCACTTTATTGAGAGGAAAACTAAGGCCCAGAGAGGTGAAGGAATCCAGCCAAGGCCCCGCTAAACGGAGGCAGAGTCTGAAACCCCAGTGCTATTTGATTGCTGAGCTGCTCACTGTCCGCCCCGGATGGTGGAATCCTGACTGCAGGGAAAAGGCTCCAGAACAAAACCTCAGCGCTCTACCCTCCAGGTTCCCTCCAGCCTGTTCTCCTAAAGAGGCAAGGGGTCTGGATCAATAAAATCACACAGTCAAAGCACAGCTTGCAATTTCCAAGGGCCTTCTAAGGTTATCTAGAGCAGACTAGCAAGGTTGAGGATCGCACAGGCAGAGGGAAGAGCTCGTCATTTGGAGTCTGAGAACTTGAATGCAAGGCCCCCATTAACTCTGTGTTGCCTAGTGATCTTGGGACTTTGGAAACTATAAAGCATTAAACAAATATTAGGTACTGTCATTATGGATGATCTGAGAAGCCCAGCCTTGACTTATGGTCAGATAGGATCTGGCCCTCGATGTTGATCCCTTCCAGCACACCAACAGCCTTCAAAAAGGACAGCATGTCTCAACTAAGCCTGACACAATCTCTCCGTGGCTTCCTGCTCTGTTTACTTGTTCTAAGCATCTGTTTGGTTAGAGAAACACAGCAAGAACTGGGAGATCAGCGTCCCTCTGCCTGCAAACCTCCCCTTCAGCTGGGCAGATGGGCCAGAGAGCAGGACTCACAGGGGTAGGGATGCTAAACAAGACACAGATGGCCAGCTGACCCAGGCAACCAGACTCCACGTGCCGGAGGTTGAGCAATATCAGAGACAGCTCCTTAAACGCCCCCCCCACCATCGCTGTGCTGACCCCTCTGGCAAAGAGCTGATGGCTGGGATGGGCATCACTGCTGGGAAATGACAGGCTCCAATCCCCCCACTCCCTTCCCACACTGGCTAGATTTAGCACTGTTGTCATCAGGAGTGCCTGGAGCCTGGACTACAGTCAGCTGATAGGAGCCTTGCACGTGTTTGGGGGGCCCTGACACTGTCTTCCAGGATGTGGGGTGAGAGGGCTTGGGCTGGGGATTGCGGGACATGCTGTGGCTTCCTGTCCCTGGCCTGGGCTGATCTGAAATGAGGTGCCTTGCTCTCCCTCTCTTCCATGCCCTGGGAAATTCTGACTCCTTAGTTGGAATACTTTCCACCCCCACCCCCAACACAGATGCAGACACAATCTTGGAACACTAGCCTTTCCAAGACAACGTGTGCTCTAAGAAGCCTCTCCAACTCCCGGGGCAGAGTTAAGTACTCTTATTTCTAATCTCCTCTTGCACCCTGTAACCTCCTCTGTCGAGAGGCTCTATGGCGGGATAGCTAAGAGATAGACCCTGGGGGAAGACTACCTGGGTTCAAGTCCAGTTACGCCACTTACCAGCGTAGAGCTGTTGCAGGGATTATCCAAGCTGTAGAGGGACAGGGCAATGGCAAAGTACTTGTATGTGTATATGTACCATTATATATATCCAAATAGAGTATATCATAGTGAGATACGATACAATAGTATGCACCACACGATATACTATAAGTAGATATGTGTATATACATGTATACACATAATAGTGTGTATCTATGTGTGTATATGTATATATGTATACATACACTATTGATTTACTATATATAGTTAAATTTATATAATTTACATATAAATTATATTGTTTATACTAATAAATTCCTATGTTATTAGTATATTAATATTAGTACTATATTATATACTAATAAATATATTATGTATAATTTTTATATATATGTATAATATACTATTGCTGTTCCCCAGGATGACTAATATGAGGATGCCATGATATCATATCATCATCTATTTGTCTGCATTCTTCACTAGATTGTGAGCTCTTTCGGAGCAGGGACACGCCTTGCATTTTGCCTATCCCTGAAGTCAGGGTTTGGAAGTCGTAGGTGCTTAATACCAACTGATGAGTGAATAAATAAAAAGCACCATGCTGCCCACCCCAGCGTATATGCCATCAAGTGAGGCAGACAAGTCCAACTCACCACCCACTCCTCCCCGATCTGTTTAATTTCCCAGCAGAATCTCAAGTAGAAGGTTCCAGTCGAGGCCTGGCTTTAATTTTAAGAGATAAAGACAGCCAAGTGCTGGAGAAACGCCTTATCCCAGTTTTCAAGGCCTTTTCTCCTTATTCCCCCAAGACTCCCACTCCTGCCTCCTTCCCTGACCCCTCCCGGACTACACCCCGTGCTGTCCCATTCTCCACCCCTGGGCGGCCCTCCTTTCCCACATAGCTTGTGACACCACTGCCTGCTCCCAGGGATAGATGGAAACCAGCTACCTCAGAGGCCAGGCAGGCTGGTGCCATTCCCACAGCCATCATCCATGGCCCTTCAACACCAACCAGCTCTGCTGGAAGCAGCCCAAATGCCTCCAGTGCTGACAGGGACATCCAAACCAGAGCCTCCTGCGGCCCGCAAGGCCAGAAAGACCACACACAGCAGGAGGCGCACACCCCCACCCTAGGGCCTCACTCCCCACCCAGGCCTCACACACACACCCGCTTTACACTCTGTGCTATACACAAAAGCCCCCTCTCAGGGGTATCCTGCTGCCTCCACCCCTAGACAAAAACAATGCAATTAAATACACGGCTCACTTAACACTGCCATTTCCTGAGTCTACAGAACCTCCTATCTATCCCACGTCGTAATCAAATGCGTCGTAATCAAATGTTTCGTGGTACAGCAGAAAGGAGATTAGGAGCCCTAAGCAAACACATCACCTTTAGGTTGCATAATCTCATAGAAAGATGTGAAATTCAAATGGGCACTAAATGTCAGAGCCTATTCACGCTAAGCACTTTCTAAGAGGGAAAAAGACACTAGTATTCCTCCTCTTTTGGCAGGAGGAATGAGGTTTACCATACCAGTAGTATTAACCATGTGCTTGGTAGAGCATCTCCCCACCCTTGGGTTCCCCCAGAGCATCTCCGCCTTGGTCTGTTTCATATACAAACTTCTAAGTAAACCTCAGTTTGAAGAAAGAATGCCATAGCTAAAAACTGATGTCCCTGCAGTTCCTACATCTCCTCTTTGATCGCATTTCCAAATATATGGGATCAAGCTGGAAGAAGTTTTAGCCTCACCTTTTCCCCTCCCCTCAAACCCTCTGGAAGCACATGTTTGTGTGTGTGCGCGCGCACACACACACACACACACACTCACAAACGCCACCCCTCGAGCTGAGGCTTGTCGCTCCTGCTAGGAAAGGCTACTTTTAGATCATAGGCTGAAATGGCAAAGAAGGCCAAGGTGGCCACCAGTCTTTGCTTTGGGACCAACATCTTGCGTGGGAAGGCTGTTTATACTTCCAGCATCAGACTCCTAACTTCACTGAAATGCAGCGTCCTGAGCCTCCTCAGGCCCTGGGCCACTTCATCCTCCGGCTTCTGCAACCCCAGAACTCTGTGCTGGGAAATGAGGGTGGAGGGTAGGACAGACGCAAGCTCGATGATATTGTTGGGAAATAGAGGAATCTGAGGAGTAAACATGCCTCTGTTCTCAAGTTTGTCTTCCCACAAAAACTTGGTGCTAGGGAGCAGGATGCCTGACATTCTGTAAACTGCCGTTAGATCCCACCATGTGCATAACCCAGCTACCAGGAGGGGATAAAAAAGGAAGATTTCCAGTCTACAGGATCCGACCATCTCACCGGAGAGAGAAGACCACATCTGCCCTCGGGAAGGCACATATCCAAGAAGCATCTGATCGTCGCCAGGGGGAGAAGGAGATCAGAGGAGAGACTGAGAACTCGGGAAGTCTTCATGGAGGCACGGGACTCTGCTAGGGCCTTAAAGCACTCGGGCAGGAAAAAGGGTGGGTGCAAAGCCCCTCAGGAGACAAAAGGGGCCTAGAGAAGACTAGAGTGGAAGTAAGCAGGAAGTGCGTGGACGATGCTGAGTAGAGCAGCAGAGTTATGTACAGGGTGCGGCTGAGAATAAATAACAGCACGGTCAAGAGTGGCTGTTGAGTGACGACTAGGTGTCAGGCAGCTGGGTGACCGATTTCCGTAAATAATGTCCCACTGTCTCTAACCATTCTGTGAGGGGGGCAGCGGTGTCCTGGTTTTACAGAGGAGAAAAGTGAGCTGAGAGAGCTTACAGCACTTGCCCACGGCCCCACCCCCACCCCTTCCCCCAAACAGCCTGAGCTTGAATCGAATCGCCGTGTTATTCGGGCCCAATCTTCATAGTTTCTACAACAGCCAGAGGAATATTGTCTCCTCCTAGAGCTGGAAAGCTCACGAGGGCAGACTGGACGCTAAGATTTTTCTTAATTTTCCCCACAGCATACATCACCGTTAACAAAGCTAGTGATTTCTGCCTTTATTCAATTCACTCATTCACGTACTAAACCAGTGACCTGAAGTAATAGATGTAAAAAGTCTTGAATCTCAACTAACCACTGACTTAAGCCACAGTTCTCCAAGAAAGGGTCAGGTGGAGCTATGCCTGGCTCAACACAGCTCTGCTGAACTGAAACTGAATTCAGCAAATGGCCTTGAGCTGCAAGAAGGAGATGGTAACTGAGCACCTTCCAGGTGCAAGGCACTCTGCAGGGCCTGCAATTAATTGAATCCAAACCCAACCTGTAGGGCAATTACTATCTTCCCCACTATATGAAGAAAAGCCCCTCTGGCTCAGAGAAGTTAAGTAACTGATCTAAAATCACACAGCTAGTGAAGGACGGAGCTCAGATGTAAACCTGGGATTCTGCCCCGTTTGGGAGTCTGGGTGGTGCCACTATAGAATGTTGCACTTACATAAGGCCTATGTGCCTGAGCTGCCAAAAATGAAAAGGAACTGTCCAGAGAGAGAAACCACTCTCAAACAGTTAGCTCATTCCCTTCAGACAAACCACTGGCCATGCTCCGCCTCCTCAGGGAGAACTTACCAAAACGTCTGTGATCTGAGGGCCTGGGCGCTGCAGAAAGCCAGGCGAGATGGGCCCCTCCTGGAAGGAGCCTTATCCTCCGCCCTGCAGGAGGTTCCTTGAGACACCACGCCCCCTTGGCCCCACCCCATCTGGCATTCCCCTCCCCCACAGCGACACTCTCAAAAAATGGCCGCGGGATGGAAGTGCCGCCTCAGACCTTGGGCAGCACAGTCCGTGAGCAGAAGGAAAAGCTGAGGTTGCTGGCAGGCACTGAGCCACGTGGGCCTTGGCCGCGCTTCCCTCAGCCCATCAAATTCCACACCCGGGCGCGGGCGCGGGGGACTGGGGCGGCGCAGGAACACATGGCAGGTATTTTCCTGAAATTCCTGGGAAGCGGAGGGGCACCGAGGCAGAGGAAGCTTAGTCTATCGTTGCCACCCGCCCCGCCCCCCCGCCGCCAGCCACTCCCCTCCACCCTCAACCCCCTCACCCTGGTTCTGGCTTCTAGTCTCAATGTTGCAGCCCAGCCATCTCACCCCGTGGAAACCCTGGCTTGACTGAAAGGCAGGGGGTCGGAGGTGGGGTCTACAGGGAAGCCCAGCAGCCCCACTGTCTCTGCCCTCAGCTCCCAGGCCCTCCTCCTCTGCAAGTGTAAGTTCAACGTTGTGCTAAAGGCCAAGTGACCGTGTAAAATTTGTCATCCAAACCAGTGCACTAGAGAACGCAAGGAGGCATGGTTAATAATTAGGCTGGGACAACAGATGTAAATTAGCACTGGGGCAAACTAGGGCATTTGGTCCTCCTGGTTATAGGGCTCAGGGCAAAGTCTCTGCGGGGCTAGCCATGAGGACTTTGCCTTTTAAGGAAAATCAGTTGATTTCTGTCATAGGCAGAGAAGTTCTCCCAAAGATGTTTTTGGAGCCCCTAAGATTTTGTCTCTTTCTGGTCTCTGATATAACGGTTTGTAGTCAGTGGAAGCAGACAGCGGGGAGTTAAAGACACTGACTGTCAACCTAGAAACTCAAAAATATACTGTCAACTTGGTTACACTCGAGCTGTCTCCCAGAGTCCCCTTGCCTGGGTGTACTGGGTTAGCTGGCCAAAAGTGGGACTTGCAGTAGCTCTGGAGGCAGAAGTGGAGCAGAGGCCATCACGCCATCGAGGCAGCCTTGCCGGTCCCGCTCCTCCTCAACCCTTCCTCCAGCTCTTCTCCTGAATACTGGCCCTGCCCTCCAGCGGGAGCCCCAGGCCATCACTGGATACTTGGCTTCTGGTTGACTTCCCCACCAGCTCCTGCTACATGGGGCAACCTCCACAGCTCAGCTTCTCAAATTGACCACGTCCCGCGCTCTACCCAGCTCCTCCTCCATCCAATAGGGATTCATTCCTATAAGAAATCTCTTCTCCCATAACTCACAGTGGATCCGCTTCCCTGATTAGCGCTGACTGACGCATCTGTAGAGAGAGCAGACTCAAAACATCTAGACAGGTGAAGGCAAATTATATGCGAAGGCATAGTGACCCCCTGTCATCCCCACACGTGTTGCTGACTGAGGAGAGCTCAGACGAGGAGGGCTGGGAGATAAAGGAAATGGAGTCCAGGCTGGGAAACCACAGTTCCTGGGACCAGGTCTCAGTTCTGCCAACAAATAGCTACCTTGGGTAAGTGGGTAACTTTCCTGAGTCTCACTTTTCTTCTCTGTAGTTTCTCTTGCTCTGTAATACCCAGCTACGCCAAAATGCAAACTCACAGAACTGGGCAGTACTGCCCCCATGCTCCTGACACACCACCCCCACGATTCTCCGCACTGGCCACAAGTGCCACATCCAGGGGCAGCAGACGGGGAAAGGAAGAATTGCCAAAGCCAAACAGGCAAGGGCCGGCTGGGGAGAGGAGGCATTAGAAAGAGCAAGGAAGGAGGAGGCAGTGGGAGCGGCTACAAGGAGAGAGGTGTCCTCACACGGCCTTCCCCAAGCTGCCTGGCCAGGAAGCTTCCAAGGGATGGATTTCAGAGCAAAGTGTCACTTTTCAAGATGTCCATCTTGTACAGGGTCAGCCTTCTGAGTGCTGTTGTGGTTTCAGTGAGCTGACCCATTGTCCATCGCCCTCACCCACCCCTGCTCCTTTGGCGCTGCTGAAAGGTAAGTGGCTCTGTCTGCCCAGATGTCGTCTCCTCCCCTCCACATGAGCACTGATGCTTCAGATCACTGCATCATTTTTTCAGCCTCAGCCTGACTGCACTCTGCACTTTGCTAAACAGGAGCAAAGATTACGTGGGCTGCCTAAGAGCTGGCGATCTGAATGGACACACGTGCACTGGGTCAGCTGCCTCATCTAGCCCTGAGGTCCGTTCAGGAGCTTGCAGATCAGATTCTGAGTAGGTGCTTTGGTGTGGCAATGAAGAAGCAGTGCCTCCATTCATTCTGGGGATGGGTGGGTAAAAGATGGGGAGAAGGTGTCCAAAAGCAGAGTTCTCAAGGAACACAGTTAAGGAGTCAATGTTGGGGTCCCTTGGCCTCCCCTGAAGACAGTCCCTCCATCAGACGGTTCAACCTGTGCAGTGTGGACTCTTCCCATGACACTCACTGGGAAGACCGCACTCTTCAACAGACACCCAGAGCAACAGCAGGTGCAGCCATCCGTGTGCTCACAAACCGAGCTCAGCAGGCTGTCTATGCAGATTCTGATATTTGGGTTCTGAGACTGATCAGGTGCTGAAAAAATCAATAAGTGCAATTTGACTCAAGCCCACTCTGAACCTTGAAAGATCTACACTCCAGAATAACTTGGTATTTGGCAATCTGAGTCCCTGCAATCTCTGCTTAGAACTCAGCATCTCAAAGTTTTCTCACCCAAATCCATTTTTCATTGGCCTAGCCTAAAGCTAATCAATCCTTCACTTCAGCCCTGGGACCCCTCTATCCTTCCCAGAGAAGTGCCTCATTCCAGGACTGGTCAAGACCAATAGTCCTCAAAGCGGGGCTCCCCGCATCTGCATCACCTAGGAGTTTGTTAGAAATGCAGATTATTGGCCCCACCCCGACCTACTGAATCAGAACCTCTGGGGGTAGGGCCCAGCCATCTGTATTTTCACAAGCCAGGTTTAAGAACCACTAGACTTATACCTCCTCTCCCTCCATCGGACCAGAATAGGAAGGCAGGTACCGGGGGCCAGAGGGCCAGACAGAGCCCTGGGACCCTGCTGCACTCTGGGGCAATGGCTGCAGGTAAGGAGGTCTGTTTGCTCTCTGATGAGCTCACAGGGAGCCTGTCTTCCCCCAGGCAGCAGAAGTCCAGGTGTCTGTTCCTCCACGAGCCTAATCTGTCCCTGGAAGAGACTGACCATATGTCAATGCAAACATAACAGCTTACTCTACCGCCGAGCAGATGTTCCCGAGAGCTGAGCCATTTGAGTAGAGTTAATAGGCAGCCATAAATCATCAGCTGGAGCCACATGGAGGCTGCAGGGGAGATGAGGCCACTTGGCCTGAGCCCCAGCATGAGAACTAGGTGTGTGCTCCATTTGAGCCAGCATGCAGGGCATCAGCCAAACTGGGGAAGGACAGGCAGGGCTCCTCCCTATGCCCGCTCTGAGCTCAGACTACACCTGACTCTCGCTATTGGAGAGACCCTGAGTTGGGAGCGAGGGGAACCCAGCTGACTAGGGTCCTATCTAGCGGCTTCAGTGGGCAGTCTGGAAAGGGCACCATGCCCACTCCTTTTGCCCCCCCTTCCCTTCTCTCCCCTCATGATCCTCACCAAGATTCTTCCCTAGGAGGACTTGAGTTAGTAAGAGAGGTGGGCAAGGAAGAGAGCCCAGAAGGAAAATGAGCCTGAAAACCTCCAGGACGCTTGGAGAAGCCCAGGGAGCCAGCAGCCTGGAGGGGAGCCTTTTCCAACATCACCACTCTGTCTTCCCAATTGCAACCTCCACCCAGTTCTGAACTGAGCCTGATGCCAGACACCTTGCTGTCCTCCCTGCTGAGGCCCGGGGCAGAGGTGCCAGTGCTGAGCTTGGCCACTGTCCATTGATTACATTGCAGGCTGTGAGCTGTTCCAACTCACTGAAGCTCAGCCTCTCCTTTCTTCATGTCCTACTCAGGCTCATGGTAGATGTCCACTTGAATCTGAGTCTGCATCTGTGAGAACCCCCTACAAATCTGGAGAACAGCACTGAAGACCAGTGCCATTCACTTGGGACCAGTTCTTCAAAATTGTGGGGAACAAGGTAAATTTCAAAGAAGGACTGGGGGTAACCATGCCCAGTCATCTGTCAGGAGAGCAAAGAAGGAAGAAATCAGCCAAGGATTTAGCAGGGAGAGGAGTCTAACTAAAATTAAAAGGACTTAAATTCTGGGCCTATTAAATGTATAAAATGATGCTAAAATTAAAGTTTTAGCAGAAGATCCATATCATAAAGATCGGTACCACCATGAGTGTGACATCAATCTCTATGTGTGAACCTCACACGGCAAATGCTTAAGAACAAATTACATTACATTGAGCAGATCACCTATATAGGAAGGGAACAGAGTGTTGTGGGAAAAGGTGCAGGAAGAAAGTTCTGTGGCAAGAGCTGTGGCTGAGTTGTGAGTCCCACCCGCCACCACATTGGAGTTACCCTCTAACCCCAAGGCTAGTGAGAAGGGGCTTCTAGGGGATTCCTCAGCAAACACACACTGTGTTTTTTGCTTCTGAAAGAAGATAAAGAGACATGTTGGGTGAATCACTACTGGGAAAGTAAAGACACACAAGGTGGATGTGGCTGCATGATCTCTCCTGGAGAATGTTCCACATGCACTTGAGAAGAATGTGTATTCTGCTGCTGTTGGATGGAGTGTTCTGTATGTCTGTTAGTGCATCTGGTCTAACATATAGTTTAAATCCAAAGTTTCCTTATTGATTTTACGTCTGAATGATCTACCCATCGTTGAAAGTGAGGTATTGAAGAGCCCTTCTCTTACTGTATTGTTGTATCTTTTTCCCTTCAGATAATGCTAATACTTACTTTATGTTTAGCTGCTCCAATGTTGGGTGCATAAATATTTACAATTATTGTATCCACTTGATGAATTGACCCCTTTATCATTATATAATGACCTTCTTTGACTC